ATTCTCATGCAAAAAAGCAGAAGAAGTCATATAGGGACCAAAATTATGGCAAAATTGCCACACTTAAAATTGATCGTATCTTATTAAAAGGGCGAGGGCGATTGTACCGATTCCACATTAAGGCAAACAAAGATTATGAGTAGATTCGAGAAGAAGAAGGAAAAATGTGAAGAGGTGAAAGAGAAAGAGGATGAGAAGAGGGATTTTCGGTTGCTGTATAAGAGGAGGTTGGGGAAGGGAGGGTTAAGAGTTGGGAGAGGGGTTTAGTGACGAGGAAAAAAGGTTGGAGGGAAAATTGTCGATGAGGAGAGGAGGGAAAGTCGGAAGACAATGCTTTCTTTACTTTAGTCTTTGCAAATTTCTTCTTCCTGGAGCGATTTTGCGGCGGGGGGTTTGGCTTCCTTCTTTCTCATCCTGGCCTGTGTCCTCCCTGAAGCTTAGACACTTTCTACTACCCTTTGAGGAGTGGAAGAAAAAACGAGGGTAGTCAGTACAGAAAGGGGGAGATGGATCCACCGGAAGGACTGAATGGCGAACGTAGTTAGGGAGATTGCCGAAAATATTTTTCCTTAAAAATCTAAACTAGGAGTCAAACCCTGAGTCAGCGAGCTCTTCGATGTGAAGTTCGCCGACTGCTTCTTTGGTGAGCAAACTGAAAAAATCCTTGAAGAAGGCCGCGATTGGAAAAGCGAGGAACGACGAGGTGGCCAGTCCAAGAAGGTTGTCCGCCAATAAGAGACGACCCTTCTTTACCCAGGTGTAAGAAGCTTTGTGGCCCATGCAAGCAATACACATGGCAAAACAGTAGAAGTTCGTTGAGATGTCACCTGCACAGACCACCTATAACTCTGCCAGATCTAGTCAAACTTTGAGAAGTTCCCTTGGAGAGAGTGAGGAGAATGGTCCGGAGTCGATGGAGAGGAGATGGAAAAGCGTGGTGGAGAAGAGCGAATAGGAGAGAAGTTCCACGGCTCGCTTGCGCTCGATGACGAGAAGAGACATGTCACCGTTATGAAATCTAAACTTCGCGGCATCGGTGCAAAACTGGACGATGTCATCTACGTTGAGGATTGCGTCGTACTTGATTTCCACCTTCCTTTCTTGGAGCTTGATGAGGGAAGTGGGGATGACGAGAGGGAGGGAAAAAAAGTGGAGAGGTAGCAACGAGACGGTGGGAGGATCTATGATGAAGATTATTTCTAACTTTGGAATAGGCAGGGAGTTTCAGGAGGTGGGGAAGTCAATGAGGGTTGCGAATTGCTGGAGAAGGGATGAGGAGGAGTGAGGGAGGAGGACTGCAGTAGAAGATGGGAAGGGAAAAGGTGCTTAAGGAGACAGTCAAAAAAAGGTGGTTGCTCTAGCGGAGGAGAATGGTACAAAAAAGAGGGAGACATGGAGAGTGGGGAGGGGAAAGAGGAGCGGGGAGGAGGAGGTGGGGAGGACGAGGATGGGCGATGGGGTGGGGAGAGGGTCAGTGTGAGGAGGGGAAGACTTCTGGAACTGCCATCGCCGTTCATGGTAGCGAGAGATATCAGACGGGCTTACCGGTGAATAAGTAGCTGCAGTGGCTGGTTATAAAAAGGTGGGCCGTAAGCAGTACAGTAGCAAAAGGGGTTACACGATCCATGCAGAAAGCCCGATAGTATGGCTAGGTGCAAATGCGGGTGAATGAAAAAAGGGGTAACTTCGGCGCGGCCACGAAAACAGTTTGTAATTGCACTTCAGGCAATCCCGCGAATACAACACCCCCCCACGTGACCCCACCAGACCCGAAACGTAGGTCATATACATTCACCATTACTAGCCCTTTTGCCTCAAGTGCAATTACAAACTCAAACCCTGACTGCACCGTAGTTTTCTCATGAAAAAATTGCTTGGAGAGTGAGTGCGGATGCGATAGGTGTAGTATATTTGGCAAAAAGCGATGTGAACGACCTCTTCAAAGCGGCTGGCTGACTGTCTTGATGTGACGTGCAAGTTTGCCTACACGATGGGCGCAGCGGCTGGCGGAAGGAATCCAGAGAGCGCGCAACGTGAGTTGACGCAGTCTGCTGCGATCGGTCCTGCGCCAGTTACTTATGCTCTTGCTGCTCCTGCAAGTAGTGGAGGTCGGACTGCGGAGGGAGTTCTTCCTGCTGGGTGAGTCCCGATGGTGCCTCGAGATGAACCAATGATATTGCGTGGTAGATGCTCCCACAATAGATCTAGAAAAAGTAGAATAACAGATGAAAATAAGGAACTGGCCAACGGTAGATGAAGAAAATCAACAGTAGCCGCAATGTCTGGGAATGAGAAGACGACTCCCACTTGGTTGCAACTGTGGGTCTGCTGCAGAGATGTAGTGTGAGGAAAAATTGAGAGAAGAGTATAGTTTAAAAAAAAATAAAAAAATAAAAATAAAAAAAAATGGGGCCGTGGTAGTTGTTTTTTTTTTTAATACAAAAAAAAAGTATATTATATCATCACAAGCTGGGAAATGGGCCCAGCGTCCCTCACATCAATAACCACGGCTTGCGGTGATGAACCAGGCTCACTGGCCTGGATCAACCCCACCGCGGCTGAGTCACACCACACTCTATCCTAATAAGCATCAAACCCTAATTATCTGTAATTAACACTAAATAACCCAAGCAATGAAGCACAATCAAACCCTAATTAGCTCTAATTAACACTAATAACCCAAACAATGAAGCACAACCCAAACAATGAAACACAAACCAACTAATACCATCGAAAAGAAAACGCTACCGAAAAATCTACACCACCGGCCCTAGCTACTCAAAGAAACGAACAAAATTCCACCCACGAGCAAATAAACGGTCAACAAACGAACACAATCCAAATATCCCTCATAATATACTCGAAAAAAGGGACAAAGAGTTCACAAGGCACACCACGCCCGAAGTAGGAGTATCAGCAACACAAAGTAAGCAGATCGCAGCTTAAAGCCCGTTGTCAGCAACGATGGGCGATACGGGTCACAGCCAAACTCCAGTGTCGCTCTCCCGGAAGCTGGCGCTTGTCGATGCACACTCATCTCTCATCTCCGTATCAAAGTCAGGGGACAAAATCCCTGACAGGTTTCACATTCTGGTATGTACGGCGCCCAGATCCCGCCCTTCGGACCACCACACTTCTCCTCCTTTCTCACGTAGTCTCTCCAGGAATGCTAGCATACACCAACCGGGACTAGGTTATGGCAGAAGCTTGTCAGTGCTTCCTCGAGGCGGTCCCCTCCCTGCGCCCACACGCTTCTTCTCCCCGGCCACCTCCGCCACACCCGACCGTAGGTTTTGGCACCGCGCAGCACCAATCGCAGCTGCACCGCACACGATCCCCCAAAGCCAAGGCGCTCGCTCAGGTAAAAAAATTGCAGGCGCCTGCGCTAACGCTAACGCACGAGAGGGCTAGCGTTGTAACCAACCACGGGGTCTGCTCCAGGGAAATTGCTATAGAAAACAGTTCAATCGTGATTGATGATATCTAAAGGTCATCGCCCTTTCGAAGGAAAAAAAAAAAAAACACCAATGGTTTGTGGGGGCCACGAGCTCGAGACTGTCGGACTATCGCCCACGCACCACTACACAACATTCTACATGCATTTGGTCGTTTTTTATGGGCCAGATACATTCGGACAAAGCCCAACATTCTGGATGCATCAGGTCCACAACGCGTCCAAATGCATGTAGAGTGTTGTGTAGTGGGCCGAGGAGGCCCTATGCTGGAACGGCTGATTTGTACACGGAAAGGACGTTCCGCGAAGGTGAGCGGTGGACTCAGAAAAAGAGGAACACAGGGTCAGATCCCACCACCCTGGATTATTCATTTTTCACCCTCGATTACGAAGATCAACGGTCAGAAATGAATAGGTAGGTGCTAGTGGGATCTGGCCCACAGGGAGAGAGAGAGAGAGAGAGTGCACATCGACGGCCCGCCGGTACCAGGAGTGCCCGCCCGGGGTTGGCGCGCGACGAAGTAGGCGAGAAATGTGTAAGGGCGGGGGTCCCCAAAACTGCGCAGCGCACGATTCGGAATTTTCAATGTAGCTCTTCGGCCGGCGGCGGAAGTGGCGGGCGGAAGTGGCGCGCACGCGTACGAACCCGGTTACAACGCGCGCACGTTTGATGCGCACGTCAGCGTCGTCGATGATTCCACGTGGCGTAGCAACAACCATGACGTGGGGGGGATGGAGAAGGGGAACTTACCGGCGATGGCGGCTATGTCAGACGAGAAGCTTGTCGGTGTTTCGCATTCTGTTCGCGTTTCTGCTCATCGAATTCGTGTTGTACGAAACAGGTGGGCTCTCTCAACTCTCAACCCCCTCTCTTTCAAAAATAGCTGAAGTAGATCGACAGGGAGTCTATCCAACCCGTGCTCTTCGTTGACCACCTCTCATCAACTCCCTCTCTTCTCTCTATTCTCTCTCTCTCTCTCTCTTACACTCTATAAACCCGTATTTTATATTATACTATACGTGGGGAAGCGAGCGAACGTACGCTGTTTGTTATACTTCCTGCCTGCCATTGAAACTAAGTGGTAAGGTCCAAATCGGCGGATGCTGAGCGTATGGGAGTTGATTACCCATCAATTGATATTGATTGGGGAACAGGTGACTAAACAACAACTTACAACGTTAAACCATCCTCCCTCCTCCCTCCCTCCCTCCGCCAATACCCCACACACCATCTCTCCTCCATGTCCCCTCCATCTCTCCTCCATTTCTCCTCCATCTTGTCCATCTCTTCTCCATCTCACCTCCATTTCTCCTTCATCTCCTTACTCTTCTCCCTCTCTCGTCCCTCTCTCATTCCTCTCTCGTCCATCTCTCCTCCATCTTCTCCATCTCTCCTCCATCTCCTTAATCTCTCCATCTCTCCTCCATCTCTCCTCCATCTCTCCTCCATCTCTCCTCCATCTCTCCTCCTTCATCTGCTCCATCTCTCCTCCATCTCTGCAGTTCTGCTGGCTCCTATCACCTGACGAACGTCCAAAGTCTACCGTACCTCGGTCTGCCAGCGATTGCTCGTCTTCGCTTACCCCTGCGCGATTGGATAGCGCCGGCTGATTGTGACACTGCGCCTCCATGGAACCGAATGGGAGGCAGCAAGATTTATGATGCCTGTCATTATTGCCTGTCGGTAGTGTGCAACATTATTACTGCTGTTATTATTATTGTTATTGTTGTTATTTTTTGTGCATTTTTGTGAATTTGGAGCATTAGCCTGAGCGCAATTCCGTCTCCAGGTCAGTGAATGAAGTCTTAGTGTGAGTACGTTGTGAGGAAATATAAGATGATTTCTGATGCTCGTTGATTTCTGAAGCTCGTTGGCGGCAACACACTACGCAGTCAATTGGAAAAAAAAGTTAAGTTACAGTTCGTGATGTGACGTGAGGTCAGTTGGTGTGATGTGAGGTGATGTGATGTGATGTGATGTTTACCTGTCTGTGCTATAACATGCGATGGGAGAAGGCGAAGGGGAGGGAAAGGGGAGGGGGAAGGGAGTGGAACGGAGAGGAGAAAGGAAGAGGGGGAGGGGAAGGGGAGAGGGAAGGGGACGGAATGGGAAATGAAAAGGGGAGAGGTAAAAGGGAGAGGGAAAAGGGAGGAGAGGGGAGGGGAATAAGGAGGGAAAAAGGAGAGGGAAAGGGGAGGGGGAAGGGACCGGAAAAGGAGAGGAGACGGGAGGGGAAAGGGGAGAGGGAAAAGGGAGAGAGATGGGAGGGGGATAGGGAGGGAAAGGGGAGGGGAAAGGGAGAGGGGGACGGTAGCTAATAAATCTGTCCACGTGGCTTTCTCCGGTATCGCGTTGACGACCACCGGGTGAAGATCCACGCCGCTGCTAACGTGAGACTGGATTAGGGAGGCGGAAGAAACCACAAGTAGAGAAGAGACAAGAGCTTTGGGGGGAGAAAATGGGTGGAGGCTCCCTGGTTGGTGGCTGAAGGGGTGCGCGCATTTAATTGTTGATGATCAAAGCAAGATGTCAAACCCTTTTCCATGCAGCGAAGGTTGGAGACTGCCTCGCACACACACACACACACCACACACACACCACACACACACACAGAGAGAGAGAGAGAGAGAGAGAGAGAGAGAGAGAGAGAGAGAGAGAGAGAGAGA